AGACCAGACTGGGCAATAAACAGAGACCACATCTCTATTAAAAATTGAAAAAGAAAATTAGCTGAGTGTGGTGGTGTACACCAGTAGTCCTGGCTATTTGGGAGGCTGAGGTGGGAGGATCATTTGAGCCCAGGAGTTCTAGGCTGCGGTGCACCGTGATCCTGCCACTACACTCCAGCCTGGGAGACAGAGCAAGGCCCTGTCTCCTAAATAAATAAATAAATAATTAGGAGCCTGAAGATTTGACTGAGTTGCTGCAATTTCATGATAAAACTTGAAAGAATAGGGAGTTGCTTCTTATGGATGAGCAAGAAAAGTAGTATACTGAGATGGAATCTACTCCTGGTAAAGATGCTGTGAATATTGTTGAAATGACAAAAAAAAAAAAAAAAAATTTGGAGAACCACATCAACTTAGGTGACAAAGCAGTGGCAGTGTTTGAGAAAACTGACTCTAATTTTGCAAGTTCTACTGTGGGTAAAATGCTATCAAATAGTATCACATGCTACAGAGAAATCTTTCATGAAAGCAAGAGTCAATTAATGTGGCAATCTCCATTGCTGTCTTGTCTAAGAAAGTGCCACAGCCATCCAAAGCTTCAGTAACCACCACCCTGATCAGTCAGCAGCCATCAATGGGGAGGCAAGGCCCTCTCCCAGGGCCAATAACCTCAAATATCAATAAAGTATTTTTAAATTAAGGTACGTATATTGTTTTTTCTTTTTAGATGTAATACTACTACACAATTAACAGACTGCATTATAGTGTAAACATAACTTTATATGCACTAGAAAACCAAATATTAATAATGAATGTGACTCACTTTATTGCGTGATTTGCTTTACTGTGGTTTTCTGGAACCAAACCCACAACATCTCCAAGGTGTGCCTGTGTGTGTAATATACTATTAAGTGATGAACTGCAATTTACTTAATCCTATAGGATTAATCCTATAGTACTTAGCAATTTACTTAACTTACGTTTAGGTTATGCCAATTTTTGTTACACTGTAGATGATGTACTTAGCTTTTTGTCTTCTGTTGAATTCCTTCAGGGGTCTTAATTTAAAAGTAACAGATTTCTTGAAGTCACTTATGGTTAGGTCAACCGCATTCTCAGGATAAAACCTAATGACTAGGCCGAGGGAGGTGAGCATGTACTTTAAGGCTTCTGTGTATATTGCATATATACCTTAATCATCTGTGGGATATTCTGAATTCGATTCACTTAAAGTCTATTTTTATGTTTTCAGTAATTAATTATAAAGGCAAATTTGTATGGAGGTGAAAATAATAGGCTAATATCTATCAGAAAAAGGGACCCAAACATGGCAAAATAAACCAAAACCCTGACTCTTCCCAAGAGTCTGGAAGCCTCTGTCTTTAAGGCAGCCAGCTCAAACGAAAGGAAGGTGGAGACCATGAGAACTGTTCTGCATTCTGCACTGAGGGGTGTCTTAATCTGTATCGTCGCGTTATTACAGCTGCAAATTGAGACAATGCGGTGATAACTGTTTATTACAATTCCTGTTTCATAAGAAAACAGAAGCCTCCGTACTCATAATGTAAGGAGAAATCTGGTAAACTTAGGTTAAAAAGAAACAAAACCCTCAGTATTAACAAAGTTACTGTGTATTTGTTATTTCTCTGCCACAGAACCTTGGTAGCTAATTGCCACAGTTTATTAGCTAAATGGGCTTCACCTAACGCCTAAAACAAAAAGAACAGGGATAGCCTGGCAATCTTGACCCCAAGGGACACTACCTGTTCATGGTTCTGTTACTAACTTACCACATGATTTTAGCAACCCATTCTATTATGAATTTCTCTCTAACCATAACAAATTACGTATATATTTTCCTAATTTGGAAGCATCAATACAACAAGTTAAAGTCTCAAAGAAAAGTGCCATCTAACCATGTGGTGATAACACTTACACCTACCTATTGTTTCAG